CTGTGGAGCTGAGCGCTCCCAAGGACATCATTCCTCGATAACACCTTTACTGGACTTTGCCCGGAGGCTCAGCCACCTGGTTTCACGACCCTTTGACGTCACCGCCTTCACTCATGTCTTTGTTTTGCCCTTTGTTTTGTCTGAATGTTGCGATTTGTCCTAATGTGTCCTTCCCTCTTTTTTGTGCTGTTTGCTTTGGTTTTGTCATGATCCGTGTTTCTGTGTTTTTTTTTTTAGTTATTTCTGTTTATTTGTTATCCTGTTCCCTGTGAGTCTCTGTCTCTGTTTCTTCCCCGTTGATTGTTCCCAGCTGTGTCTCGTTCCCTTGATTACCCCTGTGTGTGTTTAGTCCCACCTGTTGTCTGTGTTCTTGTGGGTTCCTTGTCTAACGTTGTGTGTTCGTCGCTCCTTGTTTGACGCTCCAGGTGAACTGCTAAGTCCTGGATAGCGTGAGCTCTCGGTTCCAGTCCTGGTTTTTCTGTTGCTACCGGTGTTTAGCTGTGAGCTAATCTTTCTGCCGTCCTGCCTGTGTTGGACTGTTCTGAGCTCATCTTCATTAAATCACCATCATCTCCATCATAACCTGGGTCTCGGCGTCTCTCCTCACCTCAACCACCACATCATTCTTGACAGGTTTATTTTGTTTGCATTTCCTTTTAATTCCTGTAAAACACTTTGAACTGCCTTGTTGCTGAAAATGTGCTATATAAATAAAATTACCTTATGGTAGCTGATCTTATTTCCTGTTATAACCTGAGCCAGTGGGAGAAGATAAATATTGAATAGGAGGGTCCTAGGATTGGTCCCCACATGTGACCTTTGACCTCTCTGATGAGAAGGTTTTTATTTAAACAAAGTAATCCCAGTTCTTTATATCAGGCTGGAACCAGTGGAGCACTGGACCGGAGAGTCTGACCCGACTCTCCAGTCGATTCAGTAAAATGTTGTGGTCAATACTGAGGTCCAACAGAACCAGAACCAGAACCAGCACTGTGGTTCTTCAGCAGTTCTGGTTTCAGGTTTCCCTCTTCCTGTTAAACAGGAACAGATTTCAGAGAAATCTTTTTCACTGGAAAATAAAAAAAAGTTGTAAAGAAATATTTTCCTGGCTCAGCAGGATTTCAGTTTCATTTCAGGTTTCTGTTGTGGAAAAAAAAGAGAGAGAGAGAGAGAGAGAGAGAGAGAGAGCGCTCCGTTTTCCTGTCTGGTCTCAGACAGACGAGGTTTCATCTGTGTGTCTGACAGAAAACATCATTAATTCATTCAGATCTCAGAGAAACGGTGAAGGAAACATCTGGATCATTCCTGCTCTGTAAGTCCACATTTTCTCTTTGCTCTGAGATTTAAACATGGAGTCGGATTCATAAAGATTAAAATCTTTGTCATAATAAATCATGATTCTCATGCTGAAGATTCATGTTTAGCAGTGAAAGAGTTAAGTTTAGAGGATCAGAACCTGCATGTTATTGATCTACATTTATTAGATACAGGGACAAAGGAAAGACATGATGAGTTTAACCTGATAATAAATCAGTTCACCTGATGTCAAAGGTCATCCACCTGGCAGCAACAGGTAGAAACAGGAACATCCTTCCTGGATGATCAGACCAGGTCTGGAGTGAAGCAGCGATGGACAGAAAGAACGAAGAACCGATGAAGAGGAGCTGCAGACGAGGAGGAAACTCAGGTTTCCAGACTGAAGATCAGTTCTGTTCCTGACGACACGGAAACATCCGGATAAAAATGAGTCCAGACTCCAGTGAAGCAGCAAACCGTCACATTGTGCAACATTAACACCATGTTGGGCTAACAGAGTAGATATGAACCATGTTTGGAAATATTCAGGTTTTTCTCTGGCTGAGCCAACAGGAACAGAAATCATGACTAAATCAGAACATGCAACACGATGCAGGTTTTAACTTCTGTTAGAGTCTCAAATCAACATAATTAGCCAAAAAACAAGAAAAATCCTGAAAATCCATATTTTTATGTTTGCTGTGTAAATGTTTAAATCTGCCGTCTGTTCAAAGACGATTCTGCTCACATTAAACATCCCAAAGTTTGAAAAACTTTCATTTCAAAGTAGATCATTGGAAGATTTTCATGTTTTCAGCTGAAAATATTTTAAACTCACCTCCACTGCTAAATATTTAATCCACAGACATGATATGTGGTCATGTTTTAACCTCCTCCATTGGGTTTCAAAAATCTTTCAGGAAATGCTCTGGGCTGAAGTTTTCCTTTCAAACTGCTGCAGAGTTTAGTGAAGTCAGAAGAAAAACGGTTCCGATATTTGCAGAGTTTACTGATCTGACCAGCCTGAGTGCAGCATCTCTCTGCGGTTCCACTGAATGAAGAACTGATGTGAAACAGGAACAATCTGAGATCAGAGATCATCTCAATGCTCTGGAAATGTTCCCGATACGAGAACACGTTCTGACCGCTTCATGTTGCTGAATCAGAGGACAGACGGACAGCTGCTCACTAATTATCAGCAGACCAGACCCGATGCAGCCACTGGTCATAGCGAAGGCTTTTGGTCAACAAGCTCTTTCTAAGTTTATCCAGATGCTACAGAAATCTCAAGACTGTGTTTGAATCCTAAATGCCAGCAGAGCTCAGACCATCGATGAGGACAGGAATAAAGATCCATGTTTAAATGTTCCAGCTGTCATAAAATCATCAGACAGAGAAAAAAGACGTTAACTCAGTAGCACTGGAAGCATTTACAATAATATTAGCACTTTAGCTATTTTTAGCTTTTACACAGCAGATTGCACCTGTTAGCACTTTTGCTAACATTTCAATTTTAGCTCATTTTGATGAAACTCAACTTATTTTACTGATTTACTGAATGCAGTAAATCAATGTTAGTAGTGATAACATGCATGTTATTCATAGCATTTTAGCTCATTTTAGCCTGTATGCTAATGTCTGCATACTGAACAGTGATTTATTTCAAAACTAAGCTTTATATAAAGCATTGAGTGAGTCAGTGTTGGTCACCATGCTAATGCTACTGATAGCATTTCAGCTAACCTTAGCTTTTTGGCTAACTGTAGCTTGATGGAGGACATGACTGCAGATAAACTTACCTGTAGCTCTTGTCCAGGAGAAGTTCAGGACTTTTTAACAAGGAGTCAATGAAGGGAAGCTAAAAAGAGATTCTCTTTTTCTAGTCCTGATCAGAACTAGTTTTGGATCAGCTGACAGCTTTTAATTGACTTTGTGGACTTCCTGTTTAATATCGGGTCTAAATGTCCTGGTCCAGTAATAATGTGAAGACATTTGATGTCATGTTATGGTTTCTAATCTTTGGTAGTTTAATATCACCTAACGGACTGACCCAGGGTTTCATCCACCATCTGATCTGTTCCTGGACAAACAGCGCCCTCTGGTGGCCAGCCGCAGAGCTGAAGGAAGGACGCCAAGCTGAACTTTGACCTTTGACCAGAGCATCTTCTGGGAGACGTAGTTTGACCTTTTGATGTTTGTTATTTTGCTTCTTTTTATCATTTAAACGTTTTCTCACCTTCAGGCAGCCTGACAGCGTCAGAGGAGGAGGAAGAGTAGGAGGAAGAGGAGGAGGAAGAGGAAGAGTAGGGTCCGACTGATTCTGACTGAAACCAATTCAACCAGTTGATCTCTGACAGGAACCATGAAGCAAACATCTGCCAGGCTCCTGCTCTGTAAGTACAGACTCCAGCTTTGAGTTATGACATCTGTATGATCATTTATATCTGAGTTATGAAACTATTTTATCAGAATCATATTTAGTTTATTATATTTATTATAGTTTATTCTAATTTCTCTTTTCTATAGTTTTGACCCTGGAGCTGTTCTGCACACCCAGCCGAGGTTTGATCACTTTCTGGTTTAAACATTTTCTAGATTATTGAGTGACAGAATTACATATTTTCCTTTATGTTGTTAACAAGACATGAAAGCAGAAACTGGAAGCTAAATATTATAATTATATTCTTCCCAAGCAGAGGAAGTCAGTCCTCTTGATTATATTACATAGATTATGACTGTAACATTTATGCTCCAACCAGTCATTACATGTAGTTGAACATCTTTAGTAACCTGATTATTGCTGCTTGAAGCAGCTGAAACAAACAGGATGTTTAGGAGTTTAGATGAGAATAAAACCAGCAGCAGTTTTTCCTTCCAGCCGTTCGTCTGACTGTGAGTCCCAGCAGATCTCAGTTCTTCCAAGGAGAATCAGTGACTCTGATCTGTGAGGATGAAAACAGCTCTGATGGAGGAACTGTGAGGAGAAACAC